AAATGTGACAACAATTCTGAGAGAGAATACCACATCTCATAACAAATTCGAGTACCGTCCGGGTGGATTGTATGGAGAAGTGTATCTTTTTATGTCGCTCAAATCTGTCACCACTAACGTACAATAGCTGAGAATGTGTTATCCGTCGACTATTATCCGATCATGATATGTTTTGTCGGGGTATACGACTAGATAATTCCTGTATATTATTAAGAGTAGTGTTCTAGTTATAAATTAACTAGTGACAGTGACGGAAATCATTTTCATCTGCTTCATATTATAATGCGATTTAATTCTGAGACTAAAGGGTCCCACTTGCTGAACGCTGTTCAAGTAACCAGATGACAAAATTTAACGAAAGGTAGATATGCGAAGGCATTCTGCTTATCTCCGTCCGAAGTCGCTTTCGTGAAGCATCGTGAGCCCGCCATACTATCGAAGTTTGATAGCGCAAGGAGCCGGACGCTTTTCCTATTTAGTTGTAATGGACTCATTTCAATAGGTGGTACTATATGCGTTGAACGCCACCTGTTTTGATGGGTTAGTCGATAACTAAAATAGGTCCCGATTTCTTTTTGCGGGACCGTCTGCAGACTTTATGTACATTGAAGTAAGGTGAAGCTCTTTGTTAGACGTCTGGCAAAAAAGCGAATTATGCTCCAACGAAGTTCTTACATTGCTCACAAGTTTATAACCGATGGATGCAATTAAATCTAATAAAAACAATCGAGCGTAATCTTTCGAAATGGCTCTGTTAATTCACAATGAGGTGTTAGCCACGCCCACCATTTACGCGCGATTCGGGACTTGAAATATTATTCCCAGTGGGAAGTTATCGATTCGTAGAAATCTGATCCCGTTACAAAAGGAACCCCCTACAGGCATCTAGCGCACGGCTGGCATTGTTGCCCCACAACACACTAATAATATTATGTTCCTTTTGAAAAATTACATTGGTAGATATATCATGGTAATAGAATAGTTTGCCATTCTCGTGTATGAAAAAGTAGCAATCCACTGCAAATACTACTGAAAAATGCAACGTCTAAATATTGATGCTTCACCCGCATGTTGAACTTCAGTTACACACTTACAGGGTTACCATTCATGTTTAGAATTATCAGCTCTGCGATAAATAGCGTACTTAACTTGCAAACGAACAGGCAAGTCTTGCTATGGCGTCATTATTTAGCAAGTTACGATTGTTCTATACGTTCCCGTGGGCATTCATATAATACAGCATTTTTGATCGATAGACCGACCGACTGAGTCACCTCTCATGTCGTCTGGTCGCCTCGTTGGTTGCCCAGAATGAGTGGTCCCAACGCCCATTAGGATTATAGAGCAGAATTGTCCGACAAGATTATAATAGTACTCTGGGAGTTTGTAGTAGTGCCTCGTTAAAACAGTCTACTGGAACTGTCAGCAATATGTACTCGGACAGTTTCGTCCTAGTGCTTCGTATCGTTATTCTAGATACACGCTGCAGAGATAGGACCTTCGTATACCTTATCGTGAGTCTTATGTATGACAACACTCTATGGATCACTTCGAACTGCCTAAACGGGTTCTAAGCCTGACGTCTATCTTCCATTCGACATATCATTTCTGCACGGACACTTAGCTGATTCTTCAACAAATCGTCCATTTCTCAAATTGATTTTAAGTAAAAAAAGATAGGTAGTCTTTTCAACTTTACTGTAGAGAATACTTAATAGGATTTTTGGGCCGTTATGCAATCCTAAATTCCGTTTCTAATAGTCTGTGGTGGAATAGTGAGCATTAGAGAAAACGGTGCTGGTCAAGCGGCTACGGGCCGGGATTGTAAGACCAATAGCCAAACCCGATCTTCCCCGACGGCTTATTTCCTTTGCAGGTCAAACCAGAATGGCTTCGAGGAGGATTCTGGCCGGCATGGCCCTCTCAAGGGTGGCAGTGACCATAAGCCCCCCAGAAACCAGTGTGAGGCTCCGACGATACTCTAGGGGTACCGGCCCGATAAATCTAATTGGATTGGCCACGTAATTAGCGGTGAAAGATTTCTCTCTCCTCTTTTCACAACGAGATACTCCTAATGAGTCGGCTCGTCTAGTTTTTTACGTCTTTCATTAGAAGTAACACTCTTCTTTTTTATCAGTAAACGTACTATTCTTTATACGTTTGTAATATATACGTTTGGTCAGAGAGGCTTCCCTCTTGATAATGCTAAAAAAAGGCAGTGGTAACAAGTACTTTTCACTCTCTAAACTTCTATCGAAACCATATGACAGTTGGAATCGTGACAGACTAGCGAAAGTTTCTGTAGAGTAATTGTTCCGCCGTAACTAGGCCTGTAAAAACAAGATTTTATGAAGTCTACCTCGAGTTATCCAAATAAACTTACGCTCGATCCAAACCAGTTTAGTATACAATCTGCAAGGGAAAGTTGGAACCTGTTCAAGCGCTTTAAAAGGTGATAAAAGTTTCCGTCACTCTTTGGATGCACCATTTTGTACCCAAGAGTTAAAAGTAGCAAAAAAAAGAAGGTGCCTTCATATTTTTGCCGTGCCTGTGCAACTGTGAAATGCGCTCATATTTTTAATTCATTGTCAAAATTAGAACGGGCTGGGAAAACTTCAAAAGTACATACCCTAAAGGGAAATCGACCTAATCACACTTACCAATCCTCTCCCTTCCTCTTGTATACAAGATATTTGCTGAAATAAATAATAACATTTATAAAACCAAAGTATGGGACGCTTTGGAGAAAACACCTTTGGTTAGCTTTTAGTTTAACATGATATAATCAGTTAATTTGTGTTAATTGGATCTCCTGCTATCGGCTGGTTCACCTTCCGTACAGCTCATCCCCCTTCAAAATTTTCCCTGAATTCAGGTACGTAACCAATTTATAACTACCGCAGAAAAAGCTGGGTCGCATTGATGCAAAGACCTCTGATAGGACGATTATGCTATCAGGCAACTAGACTAGCCTCAGGCAAAGAAGCTATCACGGGATTTTACAGTTTATGATTCATTGCCTCTTCGTCTATGCACGCGCCGTAAATACCATGAAGTATATACGACAAGCCATCTTAACAAACTAGCGATTCCTTTCTTTACACTTGTTTTAGAACTTTCAAACACGATACCTCTAAAGCACCTGACATAACATTTCGATCCTATTCTAGGCCCTTAGACAACTAGGAGCGTTTCAAAATCAGTTTCAGGCTAAAGGCCCAAGATCTTTCTTATAGGCTCAAGTACAAATTAAAATGAGGAATAATATTTGTCGGCAGCTATTTCGGCGACGGTTCCTTTGCTTGATTTATTATGCGGAAGAGTTGTACCGCACCTTAACTCGGGCACTCAAAGGGCAAATTTTAACTCAAATTAGGCTATACATCGGAAAACGTAACAGGATTGCGTGCGATAGAGTGTAGGACACAAAATATGAGATAGACAAGTACAGGCGCGCAGGTGTTCATAGACGTCAAGTGGGCTTTGGTTTGTGTTGTTACTTATGATTTTTAAATGCATACAGATCTCTAGTGTAAAAAATTGCCGTCTCTTTTAAAAGAAAGTAAGTGTAGGCCTATTAGCTGAATCGGATGGTGTGCATTGTACTAGATAGAGACGAAACTGCTATTTCAGTTTATAGTCAGCTTTCTATACGCTGGATTTTTTAATGCTCGATTTTGTTTCCGATACTACCCAGTAACTAGCCTTTCGTATGAGTCGCTTCGTTCGCTTGCTACACCATTGTCTATGAGTACAGCCCAGTTTTCGGTTGATATTCATGGTCTGACTGAGTTTATTATTACCCAGTTCTTCTCTCTCAAACATTCGACCGTGTTGTGAATCTCAAATCGCCTTCTAAACCACGGTAACCCATAAACCAGTCTCGCTGTATATCCATCCCAAATCTTCGTGCTTTGTTCCGTCTGTTACGTAACACATTATTATACGAAACATTAGATTACACATAACGAGTCGTTTCGTGTGCTGGCCTAAAATCGGAATATGAAAAGAACTACGTAGGCATGTGTATGCAATGTGAGGATGGCATATAAAAGCCGCCTATAAGTGATTAGGTATCTGTGAGCCCGGTCCTAAAATAATACCGACGGAATAACTCGAAAAGACGAAGTGTTGAAGCAAATTGTTTATCTTTATTGGGCTATAAACTTTCACCTCTTCCGCTAACATGCCAAGGCTAACATTTTTTTTGGGCACAGTATGTATGTATGTATGTAGATAATCCATAGAATATGAGATGAAATGTTTGTTAAAGCTGCATTTGAACAATGATTCTTCTAGGGTAGAAAAGTGTCCAGGGTTATAGTAAGGACAGCTCGTATTCTGTGTTTCCAGTAATTGTACGTAGGGCATAAAGCATTTTTCGACTCTATATTAAATATTTTTATAGAGCTTAGTAACCAAAGTGATCGTTAAAGGTTTTCTTCATAGAAATGTCCTTCTATCAAGACATGTGTATATATATATATATACGGTCACTTGCAAGCATGAAATAACAAAAGCCAAGTATTTATTATTTTAGCTTGCAATCACACGATAACATATATTCTCGGATCTCGGATACCTTATTCAAGTCTATGCAGACTGTCGATGCAATCGATCGTCTGAAGGTGTTATTGTGTACATCAACTCAAATTAAGGTGGCGGACCAATCTCGTATCGGCGTACACAAGGAATCCTCCGGCTAGCTCCTATCTATGAAGGTATAAGAGCAATAACAATACGGCCGGTGTTCTCGTCGCTGTCGAAAATAGGAGTGTATATATTAATTGTACTCAGGGTCTTCGAAGTTTGTAGAAAGGTAGGTTTTACCTACGATTAGGTTTTACCTAGTAACTCCCGTACGTAATTCATTTAGCATACTCTTGTATACTCGTACGTGTACCTCTACCTTTCAGCCTCATGTTACGTCTTATGCGCTGTATGTAATGTGTAAAAAGCGTTCATGAACTACAGTAGGTACTGTTTCTACCTGTGTGCCAACTGGGTATAGGCGTCAACCGTAGGTGAAACTCCAGTTCTCATAGAGAACATTGGGATATCCTCGTAAAAAATTACGAGATGCACTCGATAAACACGATCCACAGTGAATGGCATTGATCAACGAACGCTTGTTTACCTCTCGCACTGCAGGCAGACAAAAAGCATGGAAAAATTTTACACAATAGCGTATCTCATTATTTAGTGAAACGTACAGCTTTTACTCCTTCACAATCTCTATTTACGTTCAACTCGCTTCCTCGGAAAGCTTTTAGGATGCGAAAAGAAACGATGGGTTCTATCTTCAGCTGAGGCCTAGAATATGGTTATTATAGTCTTGGCATGCAGCTATGTTCGATGACAACGACATAAGTCTACCGAGGAACGCTGCCGTTGAGAGAGAATTTGTTCAACAAACCTCAGCGGGTATTCACGAAAGCAAACTTTTTTTTTATTGTATTTAGTGATACGTGATTGTATTGTTAGTTGTAAACATAGCCTGGACAAAGACCGCAATTCATGAGTGGAAAGGGATTTTCCCTTTGACACGCCGGTGTAATTCGGCTGATTTTGTCAAGAAGAAAAAATTGCTGCGAAGGGATCTAAATACTGTTCATATATTTTATAGTGCGTCCCTGAAACTATGGCTTCGTTGAAACTGTGTTATTTCCCCTAACAAACATTTCTGTATCAATGATAAAATCGTTACTGAACTAACAAATATAATAGTCTTAGAAAAGTTTAAAGCCAGAGGAATAATTGCGAGTAATCACTCTGCAGTGTTAGTATTGCTATCTTGTTACTTACCTGGGATTTATTTCTATAGTGGATATGAATATTTAAGTTCGCAGTTCACAATAAAAACTTAGGTAACAGCAATAATTTAGAAATGGCCGTAACGTTTAAGCCATTACTGCGTATAACAACTCAAACTGTCAATAACCTACCAACCATTTTCGAAATAATCATTTGATGATCAATATGTCCAGATACGTAACGAAGAATTTTATATCTTTAGTGGTGGACTACGGTAAAAGTAAAGGTTGACCACTGTTACTTAGTTTAGAGGACAACACTTAGAAGATTTGTGTCAATGAATAATATACAGGCAAAATAGAAAGCCTCCATAAAAGCCATGTGTTTTCTGCTATAGATTTCTGAGCTGGATGTTGCAGTTTCCTGTTCCTGTTTAGCCCAATGTGGTGGAAATGAAAAAAAATAGGTTCTATTGAGCCTGATTGAGGCTGATGCAAACTGTTGTTCTAATTTATCTATGCATGACATGAGATCGCGATACCAAATCACGGAATAAATGTTGGACAAATCAGACATTTGTATTGATATATAGATATCGTTATTGTCTAAGCTCAGTTTTAATTCATCTAATTTCGAGTTTAAGTAATATTACATGTTGAAGAATACGACCCACTCTTTGACAGAGTGGCAGATTGTAAATTATGCGCAAGAAGCCTGTTCTCCACATATCCGATTCCGTGTTTCCTTCTCTAGTTCCCACAACGCAGCGGCGTTCTCCATTTCTTTATTCTCCGGGTTTGTAACTACTTTTTTTTTAGAAAGTGAAGCTTTTCAAAGGTTCTCGCTGTACCAGTAAAAAAACAATATCACCAGCATTGGGTTGGTGAAAATGGCTCGGCGCGTTGTGGGAAGAAACACGTTGTGTCGCCGGCGGTTCTTTACAACATTTCTTACTAGAAATGATGGAACATTATGGATTAAGCAACACGAAAATGCGTTAAAACGAACAAGTGCGCCATAATAATTATGGTGAACGGACTGCTATAACATGAGATGGTGGCTGGCGCCAATGGTTCGGGGTGTACACGGACGTTCGCTGTGGGAGGTCGCGAAATTTTATTTAGATGTAAATACAGATGTGTTTACGAAAAGGCATACGTCCCCAGCCGTTGAAGCCCCCGCTAATTGTGTCCCCATTCGTTTTTTGGTTAGAGTGAAAAGTTGACATCTAAACTGCTTCGATTGTTTTCTAGAAAAATATAAATACTTTCGTAAGAAACCAACAACCGACGCGTTCACAGAAAAAGCATACATAACGGTTGCGTGTCCAACACAAGCGCGACGGGTATCGATAGTCCGAATAAATTGCATAGACAAACCCGTGACAACAGTGACCATGACGCAACAATGCAATGGGAACAGCTCACCCTTTCCTACTAATATTGTCTCCTGCTTGCTCCTCATTAAGTTCGCCAGCCACTTTTAACTACGTCGATGCTGATGGCATCCTAGAGATGAGGCAGTCCATATAGGAAAGACACTTGCTCTGCTTGACCATCGTTCTGTGCACGCAGATTTCCTTACTCACATAGGTGGTTTAAAGCTTGCGCAGAAAGAAAAACCAGAAAAGAGGGGCTAAGATGGACGGGGAACGAGCCATGGAGAACTTGCTTAATCTAGAACAAGGCGTTAAACTGAGTGCGGGAGACCCCGGAAAAACCTTAATCCTGCTCCGATGCCTCGCCAGCTGTAAAACAGAGAGCATACATAACCACAGTTAATGCTTCCAATTTTTCTGCTGTTCGTCCTGCTCTTCCTGTGCTGTAACCTAGTCAGACGCGCTAAATAAACCGATGTTTCTACGTGCTAAGAGCTAACCTGTTTGTCAACATTCAGGTGTACGACCTATTAACGAGAAAATTAAGAGAGCGTCTCATTTTAATACCTTAGGGATAACGCTAGCGGTTACCGACGATCCCGCCATCATAGCCCGCAATCGAGTTCAGCACGCAGGCTATTTCCGTTCCTAGACACAAAAAAGGTATCAGTCACACGCAGGCAGAATCACGCGGCAGACAGTTTATTTTATCTTATCTTTATGTAGAAAGGATACTTTTTGCTTGTCAGTTTGTTTGACCACCACTATCTTCAAACGCAGCATCGATGGGATAGGGACCGGCGTTGCAGCACATCAGGGTTCGCTGTCAGTAGGAGAGGAAGGAAAAACGAATATAAAGAAACACAGCTTTGATTTGCCTTACCCCTCTAGCGTATCTTCTAAGAAGTATTGGCTATGTACACAGCAACGCAGGTCTCTATAAGGATGGGTGAGCGCATACTCTAACACGTGGTACTACGACGACGACAAAACCAGGTCAACTACTGTATATATAAATATAGAGCTTTGCAGCGAGCGTGTAGTAGCAGTAGTAGTAGTAGTAGTAGTAGTAGTAGTAGTAGTAGTAGTAGTAGTAGTAGTAGTAGTAGTAGTAGCAGTAGTAGTAGTAGTAGTAGTAGCTGATACATAATATCGAGTGCGTTAGTCTGGATGGGTCAAAATCGAAGCTAACATCATGGATCTCTTTTAGCAAAAGACCCCTGTTGTTGTTCAGTGTTGTTGTCATAGCACAACCGCATAGAAGAGTGCCTGAAGAAAACGAATCGTTGTACGAAAAACTATTACGTATTCGAGCGTCTTTCAACATGCTGTATCTAAATCTGCGCGAACGTCAAACTGTCCCCACATTTAGAATACTTAAATAAATTGTGTTAAATATTTATGAGCGGATAAGAAATTCTTGCTCAAGTGCGACAACTGCTATTCGCTGAGACATAAGCTTGCGACACTTATTTGTAAGTTTTTGCAACTAGTCCTGTATAAAAAGGTCCTAATATGACTGCCATTACTATTACTGAACTAACAAAGCTTCGTACCGGCAATCGAAAGACCCTCGTCTATTTTTTAGCACGCTCGACCAATCGACAAACTTCCCTGGTGCTTTGCACAAATCCTTCATTCTAGGATACAATTAACAGCCCACAAACAATTAAGGCAATGTTTTCACTGAGGGAGAGCTGATTCTACTGAAAACATTTACCAACGTGGAAATAAGTTGAGCCAAATGGAAAGAAATACCCGTTTATATGAAATGTATTAAACAAGTTAATTAATTTTGTCGCAATTTCCTCTCTTAATGTTTTATTTGTGAGGTGTAGAACCTAAACCCCGGTCTGTGGTAAATCGAAGTCCCTATCTACGTATGAAAAGAAATGAATTTTGGGTAACGAAGCGGGTAACTAAAAGAAATCAATGCAGTAAAGATTAGTTCTACGATTATTTTTGTGCCAGTCTTTTATATAGAGCTCATACCACTTCGCCTAAAGCTCTCTAGAATTATTGTCGAATAATAGCCCTTAGATTCTATAAACTTATAAGTTTGGCAAGTTCATCACCTTTTCACGTCAGGTTTTGACCTGACCTTTTTAGAGGATTTAAAAAACTTTCCTCAGCTTACGTGAGATGCGTAGCTATAGCGGTATAATCCTAGCTGGAAAACATCTCCTTTATTAACTTTGCATACTTCTTTCTATGTTGCTCTAATCTCTACTGCGCTGGTTTTAAATTCATTACTTCTTCACTTTCATGGAGCGTCTTGGTTAGACATCCCGTCACTTCTGGTTCGCTATTCAACTATAGATAAACGCTGTCAGTACCCGATCCTTCAACTGCAGGAGTGAAAGAAGGAAACAACCATCAGAGACTCCTGGTATATCGGATACGTTAGAGTGAATTAGCTCTGTTCAGCTTTCTTCTATGAGTGGAGTAAGAGGAATCTACGTTAAGTATAAGTAAGTTCAAGATAAGCGTAACAACGCAATAAATTGCCGCTAGTTACTGTCTTAATCTAAAACGAGGTACGCAGTCTCAACAACCGATAGCGTGCATCGTATCACACTTCCTACCTGTCGAAGTTAAAGATAGCCCCCGACCGCAGCACTGGAACTAGACCTGGATATGCGGCAAAGTGATCCTACCCCTGTGCAAAATATGTGCTTTTGTAATCTTTTATTTGGAAGTTTGTTTATATATATATATATATATATATATTGCATCTTGTATTGACGTTAAATTTGTTACTGTCATCTTGTTTCTTCGAGTTAACACGAGTCCACGAATAACGTCATCACCACGAGAAAGTATCTGGACAGGATTGTGGCAGTTTTTTAACTTTTCAAATCTACGAAACGCAAAACGAAACTATGTTGTTGTCCTATATACTTTATAGGACATCAAGAAACTAATTTCTGGAGGGTAGTTGTCATTTTTAGGATCTGTTGAACTATGTTTTCTGGAAATGGTGTCAGCTGCGCAGCTAAGCACAAAAGATGAAACAAACAATTTTTTATTAGCTATTATATCAACTATATTGATACACTTTTTCTTTGTTTTGCCTCTGATTTGGAATACGCGGGTCTATACGAGCAACTGGAAGATGTTCATTTCACATATGTTGACGTAGCAGAAGATAGATAACAGAAAACTAATTTAACTGCACGTGTCTGTAATGGAAACTGATCCTATAACATTGTGCTACACATATATGGCAACGTATTGTATTACAGTGGTGTACTTTAAAAGTCCACTGGCCCAATTGGAACAATCCTCTGTGCATACATAGACGCAGAATATTGCCCACGGACACTGACAATGCAAGCCCTTGGTGATTAGGGATTCCAATTCTATGAGTCACTCCATATATATACATGTATATATATAAAGATGACGATGTAGGAATCTATAGAATACGAGGAAGGAATAATATATGTAGCTAGAATCTTTTTTGGCTTGTAAACGCGTCAGCATGCACAATTCGAGTAAGCAGTCCGATGACAGTTGAGGCTGTTGTGAAGCTGGTATCATAAAACAGTCTTACATACGCCACATGTTCGAACTGGGGCATCCGCGCGAAATATTGTACGCTCTATCTTCCTCACGATAAGAAAGAAGCTCCACGGTGAGGGATTCGCGCGCAAATAACACGTGCGTTGACATATGCGGAAAGCAACGAAGGGAGAGAAAAATGTAAAAAGCCTGTAAGAGAGCATGCACGAGCGATACAGAGGATATGAATTCGTACACAAAAACTTATGGACACGATCTGAGACATTAACTGGTTAAGAGCCCGACAAGGAACGAAAAGATCCCTCTTAGAAGAGGAAAAACACTATCAATATCAGCCGGAGGGACGCATCTGGACGATGGACAGCGAACGCTCGGGGGACATGACTATCTTAGCAGTGCCTAAGAGTCTCAGGATACAAAACCCATGTATTTTAGTCATCAAACGTAGAAATTCATGAAACGATTAAGCGATTGATCAACGTATTAAGCTTTTTTCCATCGACTATAGTCCTTGTTATATGAACAAATACTTAGTCAGTTCATCTAATTTTACTTTACTACTGGTAGCCAAATAGGTTGACAATACGATATCAACAGGCTGTAACCAATGAAAAGATATGAGAATATTTCACACCAGGTAAATTGTACGTATCAAGTTAAACTTAGAAACTCTAGTTTCAAGGCGTCCCAAAGGTGGTTGAGGGACAGTAACCAACATAATATCTATTACAGTTTTTCTCCATACCTGCAGGACCTACGGAAGTCATCAGGCTTGCGGAAGGTCTATTCTCTGCAATGCTCAAAATTTCTTGCTTCATAATGATGCTGGTCTACAGATAGCAAAAATGCTTTAAACCGCCATTCTAATTTTTCACAAAATAAGCAGTCCCGATTCACTCTGTGCTCTAGACACCCTTAAAATCAACAACATTGTATAAATCACCAATTAAATACGCGCAACATATAACTAACTACATTACTGTATATAAGGTCCATCAGGCGATATTTGGTTGTATTAAACATAGCTAGCCCAAATAGGAAAGGCCGATACGAGACGCTTCGACGCGCCGAAAATCTGAGTCATCTTAAGGACAGAGGCTTTCAAATTCTAAGAAAAATAGAAAGAGGATCTTAAATTACATTACGGGTAACTCACCCTGATTGTTCAAGAATATTTTTACACCTAGACTTGAATCGACCTTTCGAACAACTTTGTTCTGGAGTCCAATTAGAATGACTTGCTTCTGTCAGAGCATGAAGTGGCATGAGTGTTACATAAGTTTGTGTCTTTATACTACTACTTTCATCATTTTTCAGTCTGTTCTTGCTAGATGTATTATAGATATGAATAGGACCACAAAACGCGGTTTTTTTTTTTTTTTTTTTTGTTATCAAGATTTCAAGTCTCTAGAGATGAACGGCTATATGTTATCCGACATGAAGCTGTTTACCCAGGACCTGTCCGGTCCCTAATTTCTATGACCGCTTTCAAGTCACAAATTATTTTCGGAGGCACCTGATGTCTAATAACATTCATAGGTAAAACACATTGGAAAAAAATAACTTTAATTATTAGTAGACTATCCGAAGTTTTTTTATGTGTTGTTATATGGGCCTTTGTTATATTTAACTGTATGCAGTACTGTCCCAGTCAAATATGCAAAAGGAGTCCTAGTTTTATATCATTTGAGAGGCAAAAGCTTGTTGAAAGCGTACGTTTGTCATCACGTATTTGCTTGTAGTTCTGCATGAGACATTACATCTACATTTCCGAGTTCCTACTTAATTGTTTCGATCGTATTTCTCTAACTGACGCCCGTAGCTTTAGCAAACAATAGTCTCCTTAGTGAGATTACGCCCTGATAATGATGTTTTGTCCATCTGTTAACTTAACTATGATCGTGATAAATATGAATCAAAGGCCACACATAAACGCTATACATTTACAAAAAAAAAATATAGCAGACAATTTTATATGAACGCCCGTTATCAAAAGGGCAGTTTGAAATGTTTATCAGTGACAACTCAATTGTCGCCAGTCATTACTCTGTTGGCTACGTCAACGTTTATTTGTTGATATGAAGTGAGGAAAAAGAGGTACGAATGATATAGTACAGGTGATCGATTTTTCTTCTAGTTAATGCGTCTTCTAGCACAAACTCGCTAGCATCACCTATCCACCCACCCGAGCGTTCATCTTTAAAGAGAGCCATTTAGATTATCCATAAATTATGCTACTCAGAGTCGACACAAGCTTATACACTCGCTTTAATAGAGGTGCTACCTCTTATCTTCATTTGTCTTTTTTGTAAACTGTCTGGCCGTGCTGTCGATTTGATCGCTCAACCAGCTCCTCTGTACAACTTTCTTCGACGTTGGATCAATGGGCGTCTTTGAGGTCAGCGGACGTTGTCTCCGTCGGCGTTCACAACGACGGCACGTTCACAAAAAAGCGCGTATAATCGTCGTTTGTAGACTGGAATGTAAAACGATCTGAATAGAAAGAAAGCTCCTGCGGTGTTTTGAAACGTCGCCGTAATCCGCGTGGGGCCACAGGTGTCTAATGCCATTGGCCTGCTGAGCTTATCCAGCTAGCCTCGGATTACGGAAAGCGCAACGATAACGGCGTAGCGAAATCCGTTTTCGATCCTCGAGTTTCTACTGAAGGCAGACATTTTTGCGCGTACAGCGACGAGTGAGCTTCGGCAAATGTCGAATCTGTAGACATACAATACGCATCTACTGCCTTATGAGGAACAGGAATAATGTCACATACGGCGTGGATCACTCGACATTTTGCTTCTTGACTAAAGTGAGATAGCGTGCGCTCTTTCGTACCGACTACACTTTCCGAAGTGTAAAGCTTCGATTACATTTTATTTCAATAAAAAGTATAATTTCATTCAAAGGGACCTTTTTGTTTTGTTGATGAAGGTTCTGTGGGGTGTTGCACATGGCATTCTGCATATTCTCTATCGTCTTCATTCTAAAATACACTTCATAGATTAACAGCTTCTGTAGTCGTATGGCCAAGACGCCAAATTAACAAAAATAGAAGTCCAGGATCGATTTTTGGCAATGGTTTAATAGTTCTGTAGAGGAATTATATTTAACTACAAAATATCAATCATCTTCCTTCAACTGTACAGCTTGACTATGGCAAATATACTAGTGACATTTTATTTCAACCAGTTTCTATTGTGCGCATGCGAACTCCTCATGCCCGTATCGAAGAAGGAAGCACTCGCATATTCAATGAGAGGTCATCTCAGCATAAGCTAGCCATTGGCCAGTTAAACAAAACCGCTTAAAAATTTCGCAAATCATCGAATTTGATGTATGCCTACCGGTAGATACATGCGGGTTCTTTATACGAAAGCTGGCTTTGTTTTCTAATAATGGTGTATGCAACGACGCTCCTACAAGGGACGCGTTTTGTTCTTCGGGAAAGGAAGAAAAGGCATCTACTCGGACGTGTCGTACAAAGTTCAAGCCATTACGTACAATTCAGATGTTCGATTTCTTCTGTTTGCATTCGGTACAAGATGTACTACAGGCATAATCGCTACTCTCTACTGTTCTGCAAAAACAACGACGTTTTTGCGGCGCCAGGTTTTTTTTTCAAGTGAACTTTCGTGCTTCTGCGGCTATACATTAACTCGTTACGAGATTACGAATACCAGCGGACTCTAATAGTGGGAATTGTACAAGAAAAACGATCGCATAGAAGAATTGCTGACTAGGTCAGAAGATCGAAGTGTGCAGTTGACAGTATAGGTCAGAGGGTGAAAGATAAAATGCCCATGGCATCCAGGAAGATATCCAGGAAAAGCTGAAAATTGTACCCAACTAGGCGGAAAGCAAAATATTCAAAGCGTGTTACAAAAGAAGCCATTTTATACCGGTTTATTAATGCGTCAACAAGGTACCCGTTGATCCGTCATATCAAAATGAGCGGTTTTAGCTATCGCAGACCAGCCGAAAGACCTCCGCTGAATTCTTCATGTAAATATGCCCGTTTCAAGTGGGTTAAACAATTCTAAAGTTGAAGACGCGTCAAATATCTGCTCTTCAAGTAATAGCATTTTCTGGTTTTTGCACGGTAAGACTCAACGTGTTCAACTGCGTGTCGTCAAACGGTCCCACGAGTGCAGCAAATCAAACACCCGAGCAAAATAACAATGGGCATAATTTTCATCCATAATTTAGGAGCTCTATATTTTTTCGGTGGGTTGGTGGAAAAATAACAATAAGGTGAGACTAGTCAGGGAAGATATTGCCACAGGGATCAGAATGGTTTTCGAATAGAACCTATGTGTTCATGCACAACAGGTTACTTCGTCATACAGACAACTATGTCCTTAAGAAGGTTGCCGCTTGCAAGTTCACCGCACCCGAGTTTTATTGTTAACGTATGGCCTATTTTGACGGATGAGTCAGGGTCGGATAGAGGATCGCGAAAATCACACAGATCAACTGGAACCTGAGCGTGACGAAGATAGTGTAAAAGTATATTTGGAGTATGCAAGATTGAGTTGCGGTACTAATCACAGCCAGAGATAGGGACAGGCACCAAATATGATTAGTAGTAGAAGTAGGTGGCATCTCTTTCACAGTAGCTTGAAAATGCTTTTCTAGTAACTGTCATTAGAAAGCAGACGGAGCCAGCAGCTGTTATAAGAGAAAAAGACACCACGTCTGGATAATCAGTTTGCGTGCAAAGCTATCTTCGATTAGTTTCGATAATATGCAAAATACCTACGTCAACGGCTGCAGGTATATTACGATAATACTAGCCAGGTTTGTATGGTGGTGTCATAAGCTAGGGTACTTACTATTATACAACGAGATGGTATCAAAGATGGATGGATTGTGTATCTTAAATCGAGCCACATCTTCGCAACCGAATTCGAATTGAGAATCTTAATATAACGCGCGAGAAGTCAACAAAACCATGTTTGAAGTTCCAGATTTTCCGTTTTAATCTATGCACTTTTAAAGGTGTATGACGTCAATAACAGCCGAAAAGAATAGATACATTTAAGAATAGATATACTTCTAGTAGCTGCAATTGATGGCAGCCTATCCTCATGCTGGCAACGAAGTTTTTGTAGTACGCTATAATAATAATAATGGCGCATACGAGATGAAACACTTATCAGCTTGGAACAATGAAGTTTGCAAACAAAACCGTAAATGAGCACTGCTTTTGGAGTTGTACGACCACCATAGATCAGAGGGTTGAGTTTTGTTAATTGTAATTTTATCCAAAGTACACAATGGGCGTCTACGCGATATGAATCTTTTTATTTCCGTATATTCTTATTCAGGAAACTGTCAGAGGTCTAGGTAAAGTACCAAGAAATCGTTTTAGCTATTTAATTTCATTGACAATATATCAGATTTAGTTTAAGGATTTAATTATTGGCCATTTTTATTTGTTTTTATCTAATTAGAATGATTGGTTTAGCAGTGTTATGTAATTTATAGGCAGAATACGCAAATGAAGCCCTTGAATTTGGCAAGGGAAAAGCATGGTTACGTTTTCGAATGAAACCTAGATTCTAGACTACATTTTCCAATGTTTCCTAGGTAACAGTAGCTCTAATTACCGTTAACTCTCTATCTAGACATAGTATTGTTACACTTTACTCGCCTCCAATAGACGATCCACGGTCACGTATCTAAACGTTCGTTACATCGAGTGCCTTCAAATCGATCAGACGTAGGAACGTAATTAGGCATATCCCATATTATGGTATCTTTATGCATAGTTTGCTTATCAGTGCACACGTTATAGGACCTTATACCTAGGGTAAACGATTCTGTTTCTTCTAGTTACGTATGTGGCATAGATAGTCGAATAGTAAATTCTAGTGTTATCGAGCTCCATTTTTATGTTTGTCGTTGAGTATTGGTCACCCTTAGCCTTTCGGGTGTTTGAAATTGAATCCAAAGCAACCGACCAGAATACATTGATTATTTATAGTCCCTAGTCGTTGTAAGCGCTCGTCGTATTGTTAGACGACATATGCGTGAAGATAGGGTAAAACAGCCCTGCTCCAGTAAACGAATTAACTGCTCCAGATTGGCTCATTCGAACCAGCTCCATAAAATCCTCCATGGAGCGTACTGAGCAGAGGAAGAGTTTTCCAGAAGTATAATGGTATGCTATCTGAGTGGAATTTTTTTTTAAATATATAATGCCAATAGGCTAACACACCAGATGCGTACTGGACGACAAAATGGAAATAGGTGACTTTTTAGTTTCATAATTTACATTGTCATAGCTACGTTAAAGGCCAAACAAGTTTGCGGCGGCCACCGGCAGGCTGCCACGCCAAGGCGCCTGATCACGAATCAATAACAATGCACCAACTGGCAAGTCCGCGTTCGTGGCTATATTTCAACAAAGCGGTAAAGAAGAAGGGCTGCCATTTTCCAATACGTGGGGCTATGCTTGGGCATTCCGGGCTGCAAGGTCCCCGACCGGTCTTCTCACAACTGCCGAAGCCAGCGGTGTACCCTTTCTACCACATGGCCCACAAGATCTTGCCAAAACTGTTCACTGATTAGTCGAGAGTCCGGAACTGTGTTCGCGGTTACGAAGTCTGCCCAACGACGGGACTGAGCCATGAGGGAAGGTCGAGAGGCTCAAACACTTTCAGACTCGCAGACATGGCCTTCTGCTAACGTGGGTCTGTATCTCATGGGGCCCATGTACGTTTCTAAACGTGCCCCACTGTTCGTTAATATACACTACTGCACTTTTGTTCATCCTTTTTCAGCTCGGGTCGTGCAGGAAATACTGTATACCCTTTAGCACCATTTGCGCCAGTTACTTCGGCCAGAGAATCCTGTAGTGCTAGGCCATTCTACAATAATCATTATATCATATTGCTACAGTTACGACCACAATGCTACGGTTATAGTGTGTATATAGGACCATTTATTATAACCATCTGCGTCTTCGCTGTTTCCATATTTCGGAGGGTAACTTATGATGAACCGAATGTGAGATGAAAAACGTAACGGAATTGCTAGGCTCCGAAAAAATAATCACTCACATTCGCATTGAACTGAAACACTCCGGAACTGCCATAAGAAATCATTTTCATTCGACTTGATGGAGCTAAAAGTTCCGCGTGCCTGATGCCTATAACATTTGCCCCTGGCTAACTTAAATGTGTTAGCCTGCAACGAAGAAGCTCTTAAATTTTACCACTGCTTATCCTTAGGGACTCAAAATTTTACGTGGCTACGGGGTTAACAAACGCTTTTGCTGCTGCGCTGTAGTAATGTAGTTACTGGCTGGTGAGGCTCCCGAAGACAACAATACGATGTTTCCGACTAACAGTATTTGTTTATTTGGAGGCAAGACCCGCCACAAGTTCCTGGGCGACGATTTCCTCTTCATTTGGAGAGGAGCATGGGCGGCACATACATTCAACAGGTGCACGCGTCACGACCTGTGAACCCAGGAATACAAGGTTATTCATGTTTGTTGTGCGGTATCTAATGCTATAAGTGAGTCAGAATCAAGTCTCAACAAAAAAAAAGTATGATAGAAATGGGAAAGTCAGGTATGATTTAGGACAACTGAAGGCAATAGGACCGGACCTTTCCATACTAAAATATCTAGAAAAAATAGGGATTTTGCTTCCTGGTTGTATTATGCGTTGCGTTCAATGGAACTTTCTTTTAAAATGTTATTGGTTAAAAAAGGCTCTTGTGTCCGCAGATAACTCAAACAAATTAAATGAGTATTGTTATTAACACCGGTTGTATCGTGAGCGGAACTGAAGCAGTGGCCTTTGACCGCACGAACTAGAGGCTTATTAAGCATATTGTATGGGGTCGGGTGTATGTATGTGTGTCTCAAACCTGCAAAAGCTCATAGTCTTCGTTATATCGGAAGTTAGTCAACGTGAAGCGAACTATTTAACATAATTCCATGGAAGTTTCTACATTAGGGTCAGTCCACAACAGAAACGGGCGTACAGCTCAAAGGACATATTTTACTCCAAAGCATATCTAGATGAATTTTTGATAAATATGGTTGTTACAGATACAGTTATGTTTGCTTTTACCTATCAAAATGTCCGCTGAGCTCCGAAAACTACCTTTCGAGCATTGATACGAACATAGAAAAGGATTGTCTTCTAACGGAAAAACTAGTTAGTTTCGCAGTATGTTAATTACATTACGTTTCAGAAAGAAATCCCTTAGGATTTTAGTTATTTTCTGCCAACTGTCAGTCATATATGATGTCTACATACAACAAAATGAAATGGGGAATTTCGGTTTTCTTTTAAAGTGACTGATGTAAGAGATGCAAATTTCAAATTGATACACTTTTAATATAGGAAAATTTGCTGATTTTTTTCCGCATTAGCTTTCCAGTTCAATCTGTTGTACCTGAATCTTCTACTCCATTTCAAACGGCTGAGAGAAGGGTAAACCTCATATTCTATTAACTACTTAGGACTGCGGTCGTCTCTTTCTTCGTGCCAACTTGAAAATACCTTTATCTATAACGATGTATTTCTAAACATAAAGGCCGTCTATCTGACTCAGTTTCTATTCAAGAAGGTTCACAGTACTATACATATATAGTGCTGTGGACCTTCTTGGCTTGCTACACTAGACTATGTTGAAGACGAAACGTGAGTGATAGACATAATGGGGATCCATGGCCAAATGTGGACCACTGTAGAGTTACCCTTCTGACTCGCAGCAGCAGCGTGTGGAAGTCATTATTATATTAAGCTATTTTAATAGCATCTCCAGTAAAGCGGAGCCATTTTCAACGCACCTGGATAGACTAATTTATGCCTCAAATGCACTGAACGTACTCGTCGTTGCCGCCAACTTTAATGAGATTAAGAGGCAATACAGCAGGACTCGAGACGAAACACTGCCGCTATCGTTAAAAATAGCTATTTGCTCTCCTGCCACACTTTAGTCTTAGCCACTAACAGTTTTGAGGATGATGATGTCGTCCCATCACTGTTACGTTATTCTGACGTGACGGCACAGCATCATGTCCATTACCTCGAAACTTCAGACCCGTTGCTTAAACTGGCTAATCGTTGACTCTGTCTATCACTTTCCGGCTGCGTTTCCGAGCTGCTTGATTGCCGGTAATATGACTTTCAGATAGAGTGGTTTGCCAACATACAATTGGCAGATGTATGCCAAGTTTGAGCAATCGCACCTAACCGAAATATATAGCTATGTATAATGTACTTAAATTTCTGGCCTGCGTTTAATGATGATGTTTCATTACAAGTATGCAAATTCTAGAGATCGGTTCTAGGGTAATTGCTCGGTGTCGATTGTACCTCACGAATCATGATTGTGGTCAGTGATTTTGCGTCTGTTCCGGTTCACTTCTAGGCCCTATCCTGCACGTAATATTTACGCATCTTCAATAACTAGGCGTTACATGCAGGAGGTCCATGGATGGCTTTCAAATATGTACAAATATTAAAAATATCAAAAATAGGCTGAAGTTTCTGACTGCACGTCCTCTTCTTATGAGACCAATCAAATGAAGATATTAGATCTGAAATAGGCTGTCGTCAAGATCTTTTATAAAAACACGGTATGGATGAGCATATAAATGAGCAGGATAATGAAGAAGTAGCTAGTCGCAAAGATTTGGAGGCTATATTCGACAGGCAGATAAAGTTCCGAACTGGTTGTGGCTAGAGCTGCCTCCCGCATTTGAGACATTATTGTTATGATGTGTTTAATGCACGATAAGTCTAGATAATAGCCATTATACAATTTAAGTAACTTCCGAACGGACACATCGTAAACGTGCTTCTCGACAATGCAATACCTGCCGAAGTCAAGTCACCCTTCCATGGTGCTTATCTTCGAGTGTTTAATATACTCCTTCGAGATGTCAGCCTTCTACACAATGCGAAAAAACAACCTGAATAGAGGCACTTCAGCTTGGTCATCCAAGGTGGCGACTGCCAGTATCGGAAATCATTTCTTCCGTGTCAGTCACCATTGGTATGGC